CATTTATCTGCTGATATACGGCCAAATCAACGCACATTACGCTTACAATGGGTTGTCAACTGTGATAACTCTGGATTTAACATGGTGGGTGTTAATGGACCAGCCATTCAGAGAGGTGTGCTGTCATCTGTCCTTGATCCATATGGATTACTGGTACCTTATCCACTCCCTGCAGTGAAGTTGTTTGAAGATATATGTAAAAAAAGATTGCAACTGGACAACCCACTAACTAGGAGACGCAATTAACAGTGGAAAAAGTGGGTTAATAATGTGAGATCACTGGGTCAATATCCCGTCGTATACCCGCTATAGCTATCAAAAGATAGATGTGTCTTCTCCGACGTCTCTGATATTGGATATGGTGCTGCTGTTTACACCAGAACTACTTTATGAGATAATATAGGTGTTCATCTCGTAATAGAGACGTTTAGAGCCTCGCCTCTGAAGACTGTTTTCATTCCAAGACTGGATGTTATGTCTGTGCCCACTAATTGGTAATAACGGTCATGAACTCGATTGGCGCCTCAATATATCTGTTTGCCCGCTATACCTACCGATTCATTAAGCCACGCAAATATCAAAAGACAAAGGCTGGCCTGTGACTGCAAGGTACTGTGCTGTACACTTATTAGTAAAAGGACACATGGTATTCATACATTTTCTTGATAAAAATAAAGTTGGCCTCATAGCCGTGAGAAATGATTGATCGCATTATAAAACACAATACGCGCGAGAAATGATGGTATACTACTTCATGCGGGATCCTATCACTAGAGCTTGCTGCTATCGTCCTGGTATCCGGTTATCTTACATATCCTGCAACATTTTGGACTGATTGCGTGACACTGACATACTATATGCACAGGGAGTCAGCAAGATTAGCATGTATTTTGGCTAGCAGAGTACCTGGAATTCGTGAACCAACAGGTGTCGCCTAGTGGAGTTATGTGCTATCTAGGGGAAACTCTACTGACATAATATGAAGAGGAGTTACTGATACGAATAGAGTAAGGAATGGATGGTGGAAGGGTTCCGAATTCTTGCTGCCTGCGGACTATGTATGGCCTGGTACAGAAGACGAGCCATGAATGTGTAGTGGCCTATTTTGTTACTCATCATCATACTATACTTTCATTGTGTAATTGTACTTTGATGTGTTTATTACTCTAAATCTTGCGTATTAACAATTGATACTTTTGGTACTCGCTCGATTTTTGAATTTTGATTGCTGCAATAATACACTATCGTATTCCTTCGCAAGTGCCTTTTGAATTACGTTGTGGACGTCGAGTAATCACAACGTTAGCACACAATTATAAACGCGAGGAAGTAGTAGAATATACGTGTGCTCTAGTTTAGTCAAAATATAGCAGCACAACAAATGTGTAAAGGCGTTTTGCAATTAAAGAAAATGTCTAGCTGATGTGCACGGAAGAGAGATATACAGGTCTGCATTCGCTATATGAATATTATTCTTCCTCGTATAAATTACTACAGGCCGTTACATAGTTGACTAGGTATTTCATGCATCTGAGAATCATGTATTCTCCGGGATACGGTAACATGAACTTCGGACTACTGAAAGTTGAAGATACAAGTAATGCAGGATTGTTGATTTTGAAAACAACACAGTGGGAGGTATGGGGAGATATTACTGAGGAAGATGGTCATGACTTCACAGATTTCAATGCGACGATAGAGATTAATTCCTATAATTTCAAATACAGTTTCCGGAGTGGATGGACGTCTACAGATAATAATAATAATAGTATATTCTCATTTTTTTACATGAGGGACGCCAGTTTACAGGCATCATCAATTCGATAAATTACACATACGATTAGTAAGTATAGTTAGTAGTGATAATATAATAGGGTACATATTTATTCATACAAATATAGGACACACAAGTTGTGTAGGAATGGATAAGAATCATATTACATATTTAAATTACATGGATTACGGTTAAATAACATGGTAGAAGCACTGTGCGAAACTCGTGACCCAGACTAAATTCCAAGCAATTACCTAGTCACCATATTGTCAGTGATACGCTAGAACATCTAGAAGGTCATATAAGTTCGTTATAAGTACTGTCATGCATCAGATAGAAATACTGGATGATAGAAGGAGGCTCTACTTTTCGAAAGTGGTTGGTAAATGTGTGACATGTTGATGGAAAGATGCCCTTCTAGCCCAACAAATGATGGCAGTGCATGGCAAATGTCCGAAGGAAATTATCCCTATGAGTGTATTGGCGTCGACTTGTTTCAAATTCTTGTAATGAAGAAAGGAAGAGATTCAAGTGATAGATATGGTTGTCTCTTTACTTCCTTAAAGACGAGTGATGTGCATATTCAAAAGATCTACATGCTGACTTCTGACTTATTTATTTTGGCGCTATTGGGATTTATAAACCTCCGAGGTACCCCAAAGTTTAATGTTCAATCAGTTGTCATACTGAGATTAAAGGACACCCCAAAGACTCTCAAATGAGACCTCATGGAGAACTGTTGAAGAGGAAAATACAGTGACATTTCACAGGCTACTCACAAAGGTGGTCTGCGGAAGAGATTTATGGGTATTGTCAAACGTGTTTTAAGCTCCGTAATTAAGGACCGAAAATTGAATGATGAAACCTTAGAAACATTTTTTCGAAGCAGAAAGGATTCTGAACGGTCAACCGTTGACACTGATAGTAGAACATGTCAATGATTTCGATTTGCTGACTCCTAACAGGTTATTATTCATTCGAGAAATCCCAGACATAGGTGGCATGGAGTCGGGGACCAATCCTATAAATAAGAGATGGAAAAAAGTCAGGTATCTGAAAGACATCCTTTGGAGAAGATGGTTAAAGAAGTGAGTGCCAACACTGCAAACAAGAGACAAATGGCAAAGATTTTTTAGAGACCTTCAAGTTGGTGATAGTGTGCTGGAACCAAACAGGACATGAGAACTGTCATGGTGAGGAGAGAAAAAACGTATAAGGGTGCGATAGATACGAAAACTACGTTCACTCGAAAGAGTTGCGGAGGAGTGGTCAAAGTCAGGACACAGACGGTTTTCCAACGTAGAATCGTCAACCTGAGAGTGATTGCCAGTGTGCTGCTGTGAGTCAAACAGTTCTTCAAGGGTAGTACATATAGGTATGGCCCACGAAATTAGGTGTTCTGCTATTAACGCGTCACGATTTTCGAGAACATATCACACAATGAAAGGCTGTGAAAAATACTGCCTTGCACATTTACCTGCTGTCAACCTACCAGATTACAAATGACCAGAATCATCCGAACAAAGACAGCCTACCATCAAGCCACTACACACTTTTTCGTGGCATCCTACAAAGGATCGTGCATCGGGAAACAAAGACTCGGGTGTGTTCCCGTCTCTTTACTCCTAAAGTTTTCCACCCTGAAACTCTTCACCAGGTGTTAGCAGAGGCTGGACAATTGTACGGTAACACGAGTACGGTACCTAGAGAGACTATTCCTTGAAACTCACACACAGCACTCTGTAAAAGGGTATCATCCAAAATCATAGTTTTACTTCCTACGTCCTGCCTCATCTCACCCTTCTGGCTACTCTACCTAAATACTGACATAGTCCATAATTATCAGATTTTATTATCTGTCTCTTGATTAGTTCGTTTGCCGTCTTTGGAATATATAATCTACCCCGGTCACATTATTACTATATTCCTTTACCTCTAGACCGGAAAAATAGAAGACGAAATGATTAACTCTTTTCACACTAGCAGCGTGGTCCTACCAAGACGCAAAATACAAACGCATCACTCCTCTTGGAATCAGTCAAATCCAGAACAAACTAGGCGGAAGCTTACCGAAGATCCTGAACCTTTACCTTACAACTAAGAAGCGATTCGCAAAAAATTAAGTTGGTTCACACCAGCTCCCTTTAGTACAACAATAAACTGCCCTGTGGCGTTGATATCTCCCTATTCATTGAAAGAACTCCTGAAACACAATGGTCTTCAGATTTTAATAATAACGACAGGAAACTGGTGGGCTTTGTAGGCGACCCATTGCCGCTCCAATTTTTCTTGGAATTCGGGGCTGCAAGGACTCATTACCAGAGGTCATACTTGACACGAGGATCTACATATAGCACATCAGTGGAGTTTATCTTTTTTCAAATAATGTCTAGTGAGTGATATTGGATCAATATTTCGACTGCTGACTGATTCTCTCCTTTTAAAAACTCTTTATACATTATAACATTATGGTTATTATCATGTTCAAGTTGTCATACCAGGGAATACATATCCTCTCAGGATCCGTAGTAATCGTGACCTTGCGAGTAGTGCGACTTAGATCAAGCCACTAAGTTATCAGTGTTACAGTTTTCAAAATCTGGAACGAAAACTGGGTCACATTAAGCCAGTCGACACTCCAAGTGTAAAGGAGTGTGCTAACATCTAGTCTGTCTCGTATAACATCACCGATTATTTACAATCTGTTAAGGTGATATTTTATCTGATCTGTCATTATTATATCTGAAGTCTCCATCTCTTTCACTCTTTCCGGTTATTCTCCAAGTGGTAATTTATCTAATCACTTCTCTTTTAACCATTTACTCCCCTTTCTGCTCTTTTATTATAAGCAATATAACCACTTCATATAACTAGCCACCTCAATTATCGCTCTCATCCCAGACAGAAACTCTTTTTATGCTCTCCCAATTTTTTCATTTCTTCGATGATGCCAAGGCAATATTCACTGTAGTTGTTGGTTGAGACCATTATGACTGCTCGGTCTCAGCATTGACGTATCAATCTTCTACAAACTTCACTTGTCTCACTCTCTTCAGAAGCGTAAATTTTAAAGCTTAGCACAGCTACATTTAAAAAATGGCTAAAACGCCTTCAGTAGACCATGAATTGTTTGGCAATTCTGATATGCGATAACAAAGTAGTTAGTTGGTTTTCATAAAACATTGTATATCGTATTTTGTTTAAAAGTTTAAAATTCCATGCCTGTTGCTTAGACACACCAGCGCGGAATACAATATGCTTGAAATTTCTATTAGAAAAGCTATCAATAAGCTTACAAACAAGCTTGCTAGCAATGTGAACTGTAAGATGTTTCCCAATTATTCAATTTAGTTACTCGTGCAGAATGTGAGGCCTTGCTTAATATGTTTGTGAAATTTGATCCCAAAAAGCCTTTTGGAAAGTTAGATCGAATGAAGTTTCGAGAAATACTACATCATACATTTAAGATGACAGACGACGTTATGATTGACAGAAGTTTGTCTGATCTTTGTTACCATCGCTTTAGTTTTCCGTGTTTTCGACAGGGATCTAGATGGTGGTGTTAATGCTCAAGAATGGGTTATGGGACTTTCAACATTTCTCAGAGGAACATTGTTAGAAAAAACCAAATGTAAAATTTGATAAACATGCTAACTCTTCTAGTTGCTTTTGAAGTCTACGACCTCAACAGTGATGGTCGAATAACCAGGGAGGAAATGTTCCAATTACTGAAGTACTCACTTATAAAAGTAATTTCCCCTTAGATTTCTACAAATCCTTTAGTATTTTATGGTTTAAAGAAACTATTTTTGGTTAATTTTCTGACATGTTCGTAGAAAACAACAGATTTCAGATTCAGCTTTCAAATTTATTGGTTGAGGATAAAAGGCTTGGATCCTATGTTAATCCTTTTCTAGTCAATTTCTGTGGTTGTCTAAACGCTTCTTGAATGAATCAGTTGAGTTTGCAGACACCAATTCTTCTGGGAGTCGGTTCCAAGAGTTTATTACTCGGTGTGAGAAACAGAACTCAACAGCATTATGATTTCTTCTTGGCTATGTCCTCTAGGGTGTTCCGACCACCTGGTGGGAAGGAAAAGAGGGAATAGGTCAGGTTTGTAGTCATTATCTAAAACTTTAAACATTTTAATTAAATCTCCTCTCTGCCTTCAAGGACTGGCTGCCTGGATACAGTTTTCTAGTCTTCACCTCACCGGAGATGTTTATAAGGACGTGAACAGATCTCTGGTGATTCTAGTAAAGGCTCTGCGAATTGCCCATAAGGATCTGAAACTACATGCAGCCACCGCGCGATGGTGTGCTGTAGTTTTTAAATTGTGGCTAACTATGACACTTAGATCCAAATAAGTCTGAACTGATGGGAGTGTTATTCCCTCTAGTTCGTAGGAGCTGATACTTGCTTGTCCGATACGCATGGTTGCACACTTTGCCACATCGATAGGGAGTCCATTCTCTGGACCACTGACAATTTGTTGCAACGTGAGCGTATCACTGTTGCCCTTCAGCTCTCTCCAAATTTTTAGGTCATCTGCGTATAGGACCATAGGGTGTTGCTGCTATATTTTGACTGAACTAGAGTACACGTATCTTCTAGTATTTCTTCGCGTTTATATTTGTGTCCTAACGTTGTGATTACTCGACATCCACAACGTAATTCAAAAGGCACTTGCGAAGGAATACGACAGTGTATTATTGCAGCATCAACAATTCAAAAATCGAGCGAGTACAAAAGGTATCAATTGTTAAAATGCAAGATTTAGAGTAATAAATAAATGAAAGTACAATTACACAATGAAAGTATAGTACGATTATGAGTAATAAAACGGGTCACTACAAGGGGAATCGGTGAGCAGAGGTGACTCATTGATATACAAAATAAATAGAAGAGGTTCAAGTACCGTGTCTTGTGGCACTCCACTACGCACTGCTGTCCAGGAGGAGAGTTATGAGTTGATCCTAACCCTCTGCCTCCTATCTATGAGGAATTCCCTAATCCACTTTAGTAAGCTGCCTTTGATACCAAGGTTTTCCAGCCTCATAAGTAGTTTTTTGTGAGGAACTTTATCGAAGGCATTGCTGAAGTCTATGAAGATGACATCAACGGGTCTTCTGTTGTCCTTTGATTCGACCCAGGTTTCTCTTGCAGTGAGGAGATTCGACAGGCATGAGCGGTTCCTTCGGAAGCCATGCTGCGCTCTAGATAATAAGCTGCTATTTTCCAGATATGCCATAATACTTTTCTTGATGATTCTTCCCAATGTCTTGATTAAAGTACTGGTAAGACTAATAGGCCTGAAATTTGAAGGGCTTTGTCTTGATCCTCCTTTGTGGATGGGGGTTACTATGTCGTCTTTCCAGTCACGCGATAACACTCCATTTGAGAAAGATAGCTTGAAGATCGTGGTCAATGGGCCAGCCATGTGGGCTGATACTTCCTTGAGAAACCTTGAGTGAAGATTATCAGGACCCATTGATTTCTCTGCATCTAGTTTCATTCGGCAGTTGAGCACGATTTCATGGTCGACGTCAACGGAATCTATCCCGTGTTCCTCTGGTGCAGCTAGAGCTGATCCTATGGGGAGTGACGGCTCCTGTGTAAGACACTGGCATTTTGTTCTGAGTAACATGGTCTTGATTTGAAAACCTCCTTGTAATGTTCTGTTCTCTTGTATTTGCCTTTGTTATGCAATAACAATTACATGCCTCACCAGAACGCTTGAAACCAAGACTGACTCATATGAACACCTTGATTGGGATAATCGTACTGATTCTAATGTCCGAAGGATCTACTGAAAAGAATAAATTGTCTTAATAAGTAAGGATTTCGAGATATTCACAGTTTTTAACTTCTTTAAACTAACAGGTAAATTCTTCACTCATAACCTTAACTTTCAATGGAGTCAGTGTGTACGTCAAAAAATTTAAGAGCGATCGAACTAGTAGCTTCCATATTCAGGATAAGAAAGTTTAAGTCTGTGTTAATCATTTTCTAATAAATATCCATGATTGTCCGTGATTCCCTCCTGAACGAGTCGACTGACGGTACAGACTCCACTTCTTCTCCTGGAGGTCTATGTCGGAAGCTTAAAAATCGGTGTGATGACCAGTATTTTTTTATTATTTTGATTACAGCTTGATTCCACACCGTATTTTCAGTACAAGTATGGAATTTTCAGCATGGATATCGGTAGCCCAAATTTACAGGCCGACCATAGATATCGGGTGTGCTACGGCAGAGGATCGAACCCCGGACCATGTGCATGGTTGGCGAGAGTCCTAACCACTGTGCCACCGCCTTTGAACTCTCCTACGTCACTATTTGAGATGTTTCGGCATGGTGAAAGGAAAAATAGAGGGCAGATGATGCCTTTAGTCATTTCTTAGAGTTTTGAACATCTTGATGATTTCTGCCCTCTGACCACGATTTGACAAGAAGAAGAGGCCTTAACTGTTGTCTTCTTGTCATACATATGGTCTTTTTTTGAACGTTTTGGTATATTATTAACTTAACAAATTATAATGAAATTGTTTTTATTAAGGCTGTGTACATCGATCTCAGTACTTTGTGCATTACTGCTTCAGTTTTGCTGGAGTTCAGTTCCACACTCTAAAATTCAGATCATCTGATCAATCCATCTAGATTGGTCTGAAGAACTACCCCTAACCCTGTATATTAGTCTCAAACCATGTTAGTACCTAATTTCTCACTAGTCAGAAAGGATGTGGGTTCGAATCCTACCTCCATCACACACTTTGGCAGTGTCTGTTTAATGGTAGATTACTCTCCAACAAAGTATGTAGTTCGGGGTCGAATCCTAGCCGACGCATTCCTGAACTTTGTTTAACCGGTAGAGAGTGGGAATGTAGGGTATGAAGCTAGCAACACCATCCCGTGAAGAAAACGATGCAGCTATTGAGATTTTGAATCCAATATGGCCGCCTTGGCAACAGTCAAGAATATACACCAAAGTCAAACGACCTTGAGCCAACCAATAAGATCGTTCAGCACTAAAAACTAATGCTTTTCATAGTACTCGTTGCGAGTCCCATCCTGATTCAGAGTTGAAGTTAGGGTAGGATTAAGGTAGGGTTATGATTAAGGTTATGGTGAAACTTGCAACAACGATTATGAAAAGCATCCATTTGTAATGCTGGGCAGCGACCCGATTGGTTGGTTCAAGGTCATTTTATTGCCCCTTCAAAACTCACTTCTAGCTTAGTATTTTCAGAAAGTATAGAAATTAACACTTCTAATAGTGACATAGTAAATTATAAGTGTAAATTTTTTTTAAAAAAAAGGGGTGTCAATCCTAATATTTACTATCATTTCTGTTTGTTTTAATTGCTATAGCAACCAACAGATGAAGATCCTGATGAAGGAGTCAGAGAATTAGTAGAAATCACCTTTAAACGATTGGTAAGAATTAATCTGGCTGCCTGTTTTAAACCTTTACATTATTAAATATTTGTGTACTTCATAAGTGCAGTAGGCAAAGTGAAACTACAACACGATCCATGGAAAGGGAACGCGTGGATGACCTTGAGCCGACCAATGAGGAAATGAAAAGGTTTTTGCGCAAAAGCGATTGATTTCCCTCCCTGATATGACTTTAAAATACCTCCAAATTATAATGAGGAGTGTGAGTTTTTAAGTTAGACCAGTTTCCTTGTATGTTTTCATCGAGGTGATTTGGGTTATAATTGAACGACATGAAATAGAATGTTCAAATATACATAGTATTCTGTCGCCAATGCAGTATTGAACTGTGGGAACATGTGAGAATCATATTCCGTTGGAACATATATTGTCTGTATTACACCACCACAATATGGCTCAAAATCGTTCTCATTGGCACCGATGTATTCACTTTTTATAGCGCCTCAGATACATTAAATTTTCACTATTATCTACATACTTATTTTTTCTCGTATATATTTCTGTTCATGATAGCGTTCTTTTGATCTTTCCCGCCTTGTATTTGTATGCTATATGAAGTGTGGCAACTTGAAATGGTGTGTGTTTGTGTATAAATTCGCTAGGGGTCGCGCTATGTCGTGAATTGGCAGAAGTTAGAATTCATGGGCCATTGGATCTGGTCCCAGTGGCTTAATGGTATACGAGCTTGCCTTGTAACCAGAAGGTCCTGGGTTCGAGTCCCGGTGGGTGCGTACTGATGAAGAGTCCCAAACTAGGACGAAACGGCTGTTCAGTACTCCCAGGTTTTCTGATGGTTCTCTAACCAATGTCAGCTCATGATGAAAGTCCTGTAACCAATCAAATCCCTACAAACCAACATTTGTGTATATGTGTCTGTGATTGTGTGTGTTACTGTATGCATGCGATTACTGACTTTGTCTTATAAATGATCCATCTCACTGAGATCAATCATTCTACATTTAGCGAAATTCTTATTTTCTGATAATCTGACTTCTTCCGTCGCCCCCCCCCCCTCCATTGAATGTACTGGTCTGACTTGTGTAGTTAACTTCACAGTCTTTGTAAGGTATACGTATCTGATTGACTTAATTGGGTCCTTTAGCGTACACAGCTGCTCGTCGAGTGAGTTTATAGGAGGATTTAAATACCACCCTAATTCCTGCTTTATTCATCAAAAACTTTTTGGCAAGATGTTCCACAAAAATAAGAGTTTTAGGTAACTATGTAAATGTAACGTAGTAATCGAAAAGCGCGTCAAGGTCAATATGCTTTGCAATCCACAACGGGAAACTTACGGAATCCTTCGAAGTGAGGACAGGAGTAAGACAAGGCTGCCTACTATCGCCAATGATTTTCCTGATTGCAGTAGACTGGATAATGCGACAAACAGCGAGCAATGAGGAAACAGGCATAAAATGGACTCACACAAAAACTTGGAGGATCTGGACTTCGCCGATGATATATGTCTGATTTCCCACAAACTGGAAGATATGCAAGCGAAAAGCAGAAGAAGCATCAAAGATAGAACTTCAGGTGAACATAGAGAAAACAGAGGTGATGAAGATTCCTGGGAAACACCAACAACAACAACAACAATCAGCATAAATGGGAGGAACCTGAAAGAAACAACCTCCTTCATCCACCTACCTGGGAAGCATCATTTCAACTACAGGCGGAACTGACGAGGATATCAAAGGAAAAATCGGAAAAGCAAGACAAGCTTTCACTACTCTCAAGTCTGTGTGGAGGTCAACAGCACTACTCAGCATCAAAAATAACATCCGGATTTTCAACTCCAATGTAAAGTCAGTGCTACTATACATACGGATCAGAGACTTGCCTGCACGTTATAAAGAGTACCTCAAACAAACTACACACCTTCATTAACAGTTGTCTTCGCTCAATACTCAAGATCACATGGTCGGTCAGAAAAGATCAGCAACAGGGAGGGATCTCTGGGAGTGAACCAACCAGGAACCGATTGTGAAACAAATAGACAGGAAGAAATGGAGATGGATTGGCTGGCCATACTCTGAGGAAACAAACCATCAAGTGACATCACTAGACAAGCCTTTGCTCGAGTGGAACCCGAAAGGGAAGCGGTAAGTTGGTCGTCAGCGCAAGGGTGACTTGGAGGAGGTCATGTGAAGAGGAGATGAAAGCTTGTGGGCAGAATTGGAACCAGGTGAAGACTCTAGCAGAGAACCGAACGCAATGGAGACACACGGCTGAAGCCCTATGTTCCTGTAGGAATTAAAGGAAACAATAATAATATAATAATCCTGCTTTATTAAGAATCCTACACCTAAGGTTTCAGATATGCCTTGCTTCTGCGACAAAAACTGTAAATGCCTCAAACTTTATCCTGTGTTATGGTTAAAGTAGCCCAACTACTTTCCTTTATCTTGTGAGATTTCTTCATCTAAATTATTGATTTTTTATGGGATAGTTATTAAGTTAGCAGCAATGCTTCTTCTATGTTTTATTTCATCATTTAGGTTTTTTGTTGTACTACTTAGTGTTGTTATTGCTTGGTTTATTAGGCAATTAACTAAGCTTGCCGTTACTTAAAACGGATGAGGTGAATTAAAGTCTAAATATCTATTAGAGTGTGTTGGTTTTTTTATAAACGCTATTATTGTGGTGAGAGTTGGCTGCAAGCCAAAAATTGTAAACAGCAATTTACGTCAATGTTGCGTCTCGAATCGAGGTCATCAGAAAAAAGCAATAACAAAGCCTAATCTTGAAGAACTCACCAACTAATCACACAGCAGACTTAACGTGTGCAAATACGATTCGCAGATATATGGCTCAACTTTCTGAGGAACAGTCGGTCACAAGCAGTACAGAATGACCTTCAGCAAGAAAATAACCAATCAGAAGATGTTGTTGCTCTGTTAACGATAACGCTAATAATAATGCACATAAAAATCTATAAATATCTATTGATTTTCTGGATAAACGATCTGTTGCTTGGCCCTTGTCTTCTGTCGTTACATTATTATTACTTCCTTGAGTTCCGAGTGGAACATCAGAAGGGCTTCAACAACACATCTCCGCTTTGTCCTGTTCTCTGCTGTCCTCTTCGGCTGGCTAGCTCCACGACTGACCATAATCTCTCATCTCCTCATCCTCCACCTCCTCGCAAGATCTCCTTCATGTCATCCTTGCACTAATGACCCACTCGTCACTTCCCATTCGGATTCTACTCAAGCGATGGCCTGCATTGCCGGAGATTTCATTCGACGGCCCTCTCAACCAGCGTATACCCGATCCATCTCCATTTTCTCCAACATATTTGTTAAGTAATTGGCTCTTACTTGTTGGTCTATCCCCAGCCAGAGTTTCTTGTTGCCAATTCTTTCTGGTCGACTAGCCGGCCATTTGATCTTCATTATGGAGCCAGTGGAGTGGACAGCTGTTGATAAACATCTGCAACAGGCTGTTGGAAATCCTTTTCATGACTGACGCTCAGTGCAAGTTTCTCATCCCATATAGAAGAACTGACTGATTTCACATTGGTGTTGAACAGAATCCAAATCTTGTTCTTTATGCTGAGGCAGATTGCAGAAGATTTCCAAACTTGTTTTTAGATTGATGGAGGTATGGCTTGCCTTCTGAAATCTGGCCAGCTTTGACATCTTCATCCGTAAAGACTGCCTATGATGTTTGGAAGGAAGTAACCTTTTTCATATCTCTCTCATTGTGTGTACATATTTTACCCCCTCCTTTTTTATACGAGTAATTAGAGATAATCAGTAGAAATCATTTATTTTTTTGTGTGCGTTTTTAGGATGTGGATCATGATGGAAGATTGAATTTTACTGACTTTCAACAAGCTGTTGAAGACAATGCATTATTGTTAGAAATTTTAGGACAATGTTTTCCAGATGAAGAGGTGAGTTATGCTTTATGGTACTCATAAGAAAAGAAGTAAGATATTCTTCTATTTAAGGTTTTTATGATATGAACCATTGGAAAACCTGGGAGTAATGGACGAAACAGAGATACTCACTGGTGACTGGCCCTATTCAGGTAGGTAGTTACCTGGGGTTCTAGTGGAAAGTCGTGACCAGTAGGGTGCAGCAGGTCGGGTGTGAGGACAAATACTCGCCAAAGACATTGGCTAGCGGTTGCGCTATATCGTGAATTGGCAGAAGTTAGAATTCATGGGCCATTGGATCGGGTCCCAGTGGCTTAATGGTCTACAAGCTCACCTTGTAACCAGAAGGTCCTGGGTTCGAACCCCTCTGGTGGGTGTGTACTGACGAACAGTCCCAAACTAGGACGGGGGAAACAGCTGTCCAGTACTCTCAGGTTTTCCAATGGTTCCCTAACTGATGTTAGCTCATGATGAAATCCTGTAACCAACCAATCGAACCCCTACAAACCAATACTATACAGAATAGCTGGACGATGTTATATATGCTACTGATTGATTGATATGAGTAGTTAGACGTCACTTAAATTAACCAGTAGTGAGTGCATGCCAGCCAGCCGGCCAACCCGTCAGACTGAAGTGACCTAAACACCCTGATAGCCAAGGTAAGGTAAGTTTGGCGGTAAGTCAGACTAAGTGGCTGGAAAGCTGAATCAACTGAGATAGCTGGGACACGTGATACGCATGTAAACCGTCGCCTCTCTCGTCAAGTAATGCTACCTGACATAGGATCAGATTGGAATATAGTTGGGGCTGATCAAATCAAAACATCGGATCAATCTATGAAGTATTTGATTGATTGGCTTGAGTCATATACACAGAGGTGTAGACTGTCTGATTCAGGTCCATTGAAGGCTAAAAACCATAGTTTTGTTTCACCACTGTTAATCATGTCCCACCGCACTTTCTTGAGAATGTGAACTTATCCAATCTGAATAAACATCATCGGTATTACAATAATCATGTGAATTTTGCTCACTTATATCAAAAACACCAGTATTTAATTGTGTAAAGTCGATGAATTATTTGTGTTGCCTAATTGAACTACTTGAAATTTATAAAGTAGTATGAAATGTCATATGAAAATTATTGGTTTTTGTTCATTTTCTCTAGAGTCCAACTACTCTTTCGTGTCAGTAGTAGTAGTAGTAGTCTGGTAGTTGCGTTTTACAGTGTGGTGTCTAATCGAGGATAGTAGCTATGGTCACTGTGCAGGATCGACATTTCTCTGATGTTGACCGACTGTTAAAAACAAAATCAAATCTAGATTTTATTCATTATTGAAAGACGTCAGCAATGGTATATTTGTAATATTACTGATACACTCTCAACGCCGCCTCCCCCCCCCCATCTAAATGATTTTAGTACCTATAGCATACTAGCGATTCCCTTGAAGACCAGTATCGTAATAATTCAAAAGGTTAATAACTAATAAATTACTAGATTATATCATGTTTTCAAGAATGATTATTAGCGCATGAAGAATATCCCCTTCAATAACTTCCTCATCGCCGTCAGGTAATACACGTAAATGTCTATAGTGAATTTGTTTTCGTTTTGATCACAGATTGATGACATCAGCTGGAGAGAGAACTATTGAAAACCAGCCACATGGAATACTGGACAGCCAGCTGTTTCGTCCTAATAGTTTGTGACTCGTTGGTGGTACGCACCCACCGCCAGGTTTCGAACCCAGGACCTTTCAGTGACAAGACAAGCTCGTGTACCATTCATAATGCTAAAATCATGGATTTTTAGAAGTTTGAATTCATGTACTGGCCATTGAGTCGGATCTTAGCGACTGATGACGAGTCTCGAACTAGGACGAAACGATTAGCTGTCTAGTACTCCCTGTGGCTGGTTTTCAATGGTTCTCTAACTGACTTCATCAGTCCGTGGTCGAACTTGAAATTAGTCAAATCTCTACAAACAAAATCATGAAAATTAAACAATTATTATTAACAGCATCAATGTTCTAAATATCTTTGGACGCAACTTCTCTTGGGTCTATTAGTTCAACTGCTCCTGTGTAGTCAGTGATACCGACTTTAGATCCAAGAACTTAGCATTTCCTACTTTGGAACACCTACCTGCCTACCGGTGTGGTTATATAAATAAAGGTGTGGTAAAAAACCATCAACATTTCGATACTAGATCACCTGGTTCAAATAGGTCATCAAGCCAGGCACTGCAGAATCTTTTTCTGTCATCTACTGGGTACTAAGCAATTGGGCAAAATTCAGCCTCTAGGCATCGAATACTTCAAACAAACAGAAGCTATTACAATTCGCCTAAAACAACCGAGGCTGTGTGTGCAAACGAAGCAAGTCCAACCATTACTGTGCTACTACAGCCACAGATGCTTTTGAAATGTAATCTACTGATCACGAAGTGTCATCAGTTAGTGGACCATTAGAAAACCATCACGGAGTGCTGGACAACTAGCTGCTTCATCCTTGTTGTTTGGGACGCCTTAGCAGTACACACTCACCAGGGTTTAAATTCAGGACCTTCCGGTTACAAATCAAGCTTGTAGATTGTTCACATTCACTGGGACCCGATCCAATCACCCATAAGGTTCGCTAGTGACTCGCTATAAGACGAAGTTAGTTGACTGGAAATCTAGGGAAAAATCGTGACCATTGGTGTCGTCCATTCGGTTGGGAGTGAGGGCAAATACTCGCAAGCAGCGATAACATTGGCTGCTGACAGTCGCGCTAATATCAAGAATTGGTAGAAGTTGCAATTCATGCACCACTGAGTCGCAGGTCCCAGTAGCTGTGAATGGTCTACGAGTTTGGCCTTGTAACCGGAAGGTCCTAGGTTCAAACTCCTGTGGTGGGTGAGTACCGCTGAAGAGTCCCAAACTGGAAGAAAACAGATATTCAGTACTCTGTGTTGACTTTTCAGTGGTCCTCTAACTGATGTCACCTCATGACTAATCCTATGACCCACCAAATCCCTTCAAACCAACACTTGATATCATGAATGCATATATCACTGTAGAACCTGATGATGAAGAAGCTATCGAAAAGAATACTCCTCGTCCACTGATCCAATAATTCATGCTTTTTTTACGAGTTGATCACAGATTGATATCAGTTAGAGAACCATTGAAAACCAGCCAGGAGTACTGGACAGCCAGCTGTTTCATCCTAGTTTGGGAATCATCGGAATTAATGAAAACAAAACACGTAGATCAGCGAAGAGTCTCTTTTCGGCAAATTCATCTTCTTAGCTGTACAATCGCAAATATATATGCATTGTTTTGTATGTATGTGTACATTAAGTTTGTCAAACAAAGTTACAATTGGTTAAGGTTAATTTTAAGTAAACAAGTGAAGGTTGGTAATAGAGGTCAAGAAAATTAAGTGAAACTAGGGTAGTAACAAAGGTGATGAGTTGTCTCCTTTGTATCGCTGAAGCTCTAGCCATTCACATGGAAAAACCGGAGCTGTGCATACAGAAGAAGATTACTCAACCACTTCTACTCTCATGGTAACAATGTTTTGATTTTTTGATTTTATTTCATTTTATTTTATTTTGATAACTTAATTTTGTTTCTTTGCCTGTTCCTTAGTTGCTTATAATTCTTGTATTCACTTAGATCTCTTACATAGTTTCGTATTATCTACTTTGTTTCTATGTGCATCCTGAGTAAAACTCACTCATCAAAATATTCATATTATTATTGCATAACTTCTTTTAACAACTATTTGTGACAACTCATCACCTTTGTTACTATCCTAGCACTTAATTGCCTTGACTTATATTACCAACCTTTACCTGTTTAGTTAAAATAACCTTAAGCAATTGTAATTCTTGTATCCACTTAGATCTCTTACATAATTTCTACTTTGTTTCCATGTGCATCCTGAGTAAAACTCACTATTATTATTACAACTGTTTGTGACAACTCATCACCTTTGTTACTACCCTAGTTTCACTTAATTTTCTTGACCTCTATTACCAACCTTCACTTGTTTACTTAAAATTAACCTTAACCAATTGTAACTTTGTTTGACAAACTTAATGTACACATACATACAAAACAATGCATATATATTTGCGATTGTACAGCTAAGAAGATGAATTTGCCGAAAAGAGACTCTTCGCTGATCTACGTGTTTTGTTTTCATTAATGTCTGGATGGGGATTATCCATGAATCATCGGAATCACGCACCCACTGGGATTCGAACCCAGGAACTTCCAGTTACAAGGCAAGCCCGTATACCATTCAGCTACTGCGACCCAATCCAATGGCTCATGAATTCTAATTTCTACCAATTCGTGATTTAGTGCGACCCCAACCAATGTCGTCGGTGGAACATCCATCCTCACACGTGACATCTGGATGGACCTCACTGATCACGACTTTTCACTAGAACTTCAGGAAACTCCATCCTGTAGCAAGTCACTAGCAATTTTTTGGTTTGTAAGGGTTAGTTATGTTTTAACGAGTTGATCACGGATTGATATCAGTTAGAGAACCATTGAAAACCAGTGGTTGGAGTTGCGCTAAAAATCGCGAATTGATGCAAGTTAGAATTCATGGACTGGCCAGTGAGGAGTCGTGTCCCAGAGGCTGAATTGTATACGAGCTTGCCTTGTAACCGGAAAGTCCTCGGTTTGAACTCTGGCGGTGGGTGCGTGCTGTCGATGATTCTTAAAAACTAGGATGAGACAGTTGGCTATCCAGTATTCCATTGCTGGTTTTCAATGGTTCTCTAACTGATATCAATCCGTGATCAACTCGTAAAAACATAACTAACCCTTACAAACCAAACAATAGAAAATTAATCTGATGCTCGCTAGTGACTTGCTACAGGATGGAGTTTCCTGGAGTTAGTTCTAGTGAGAAGTCGTGACCACTGAGGTCCATCCAGATGTTCCACCGACGATATTGGTTGGTGGTCGCGCTAAATATCATGGATTGGTAGAAGTTAGAATTCGTGTGTTGGCCATTGAGGGTTTGGTGTGACGCCAACCAATGTCATCGCCAATGATTCCCAAACTAGTATGAAACAGCTGACTGTCCAGTAATCCAGTGCTGGTTTTCAATGGTTCTCTAACTTATATCAATCCGTGATCAACTCGTAAAAGCACAACTAACCCTTTCAAACTAAACTACAGAAAATTCATATTTTGAAATCTTTTTTTAATCAGTCTCATTAAGAAATTAACTAATTAATTAATTCATATAAATCAATAAATGTTCATCAAGCCTATTTTATTTTCCGTTTTAACAGGTGACAACAGCATTCCTGTCAACATTCCAGGAAATTCAGATACCAGAATCTGTTTATTACATAAAACCGGCGAAATCATTTATGAGTTCTACAGCTGCTTGATCAGTGATGCAACACCTCTTCCACATTATTGTTGTCATTACTATTATTATTATTACTTGACTTTTTTTATACGCATAAAACTTAGTAATTATTGTAGAATTTCTAATCGATTTTCCTCTTTGATCATTGATTGGTTGATTGCTTTATATAAATCATGTCAGATTTATTATAATATTATTATTCCCTTGGGTTCCGAGTGGAACATCAGGAGGGCTTCAACAACACACCTCCGCCTTGTTTTATTTTCTGAGATCCTCTTCGGCTGGCTAGCTCCACGATTCACCATAATCTCTCCTCCCCCTCATCGCACTATCTCCTCCAAGTCACCATCTCACCGATGCAGTCCTCGGATTCCACTCGATCACTGACCTGCACTGCGCGCAGTGTTACTCGGTGGCCTCCTCAAATTATGCCCAGTCCATCGAACTCCATTTCCTTCTACATATTTGTTTAGCAATCGGCTCTTGCTTGTTGGTTTGTTCTCAGCCAGAGTTTCTCATTGCCGGCCATTTGATCTTCAGTATGGCGTCAGTGAAGGGGGCAGCTGTCGATGAAATTCTGCAACTTCTAGGAAATCCTCTTCCTGACGGATAGTGCAAGTTTCTAACCCGTATAGAAGCAGTGACTGACTGGCTGACTTCACATTTATGTTGAACAGAATCTGAATCTTGTTCTCTATGCTGAGTGAGTGAAGCAGAAGATTTCCAAACTGGTTTCAGGTTGATGGAGATGTATCTTGCCTTTCCGAATCTGGATGGCTTGTTTTGACATCTTCATCCGTTCTGACTACCTCTGGTTGAAAACGTGTTTCCTAGATAAATCATGTCAAATATAATAATAATAATAATAATAATAGCGAATTACGTCCACAAATGATAGAGATTATTATCATTCCCTTGGGTTCCCAGTGGAATACAGTGCTTCAACAGGACATCTCCATTTCGTCCTGTCCTCTGAAGTCCTCTTCATCTAGCTGGCCTCGTGATTCCCCCGCATAAGCTTTCATCTCGTCCTCCTTCTCCTCCATATCACCCTGGAAGGTAACGCCCAACTCGTTATCGTTTCCCACTCGGGTTCCCCTTGAGTGTTGGCCCCGCATGCGAGATATCACCCTACGGTCTCCATTTGTTTCAGAATATTTTATTCAGTAATTGGTTCTTAGTGTGATGTCTCTAGCCCTTTGTTTGTTTGGTGCAGACTGAATTCGATCAGTCAGGTTTGCAATGTGGTGTCAATCTAGGTAACTCGCCATCACAGTGCACATTGATTTGATGATGAATTCAGTCTGCACCAAAGAAAAGACTAGACACATCACACTAGTTAGTTACTAGTGTGCAATCAAAGTACCCCCTACAGTCCTACAGTGGGTCAATCGCCAGCCCGAATATTTCAGTGGTAACACTGTCTCTGACTGTAGCACCGAGTGGCGCGCTTTTGAATCTCAGAAGGGACATGACTTGTTCCTTCAAGGCTGCAGATACGCCTTGCTGACTGATTGGCAGTGAGTGCCAACTAACACGAAACCTAGGTCAGGTAGGGTTTCCTGCCGATTGCCTCCAATCATCTAATAGGTTCTTAAATAGTTCTTTCCCAGAAATCCTTTTTGCTAATTCTTTCCCACTGGTGGTCATCTGATCTTCAGTTGGAGACAGTCAGGGTGGCAGGTGTTGATAAAAGTCTTCAGTAACCTGTTAGAAATGCTTTCTGAGACACGCGCGCCAAGTTTCTGACCCATACAGAAGAATTAATCGACTTAACATTGGTGTTGAAAATCCGGAATTTGTTCTGTATTCTGCAGAGTACAGAATTCACAGTGATGAATGTTTTTCCTGTTTTTCCGAGCCTGACTTGTTATGACATCCTCATTCTATTCCAACTGCCCGTAGTTGAAGTGTTTCTGCCTCAAAAGAAGTGACCTCTTGATGTTAGATGGTTTCAGAGAATCATCAGGAAGCCTTGGATTTAGGTTTCGTGTTTGTTGGCACTCACCAGTCAGTGAGGCTTATCTGCAATTTTGAACAACCCCATGTCCCTCCTGAGATTCGAGATCGTATGTCATCCAGTGCTGAAGTCAGAGAATCTTACCACTGTGATGGCGAGTCACCTAGCACACCATAGCCACATTGCAAACTGAACCGATAGACTCAATCTACACTAAGGAAAGGACTCGATTCATGTCACTCATTAGTGTTCAGTCAAAGGAGTGACATCTTTCAAAATTCCTCCTATCGGAAACGATCAATATCACTTACAAAATAAGTTGCAAGAATTGGGATAAGCACTCTCCTGATCAACAAGGCAGCTATACATAGATGAATTTAGTTTTCGAATACGAAACAAGTATAGTAGAACAAAATTAGTTAAATCCAAATTAAACCACAATTGGAGGATCTGGACTTCGCCGATGTGATATATGTCTGATTTCCCACAAACGCTGGAAGATAAGCAAGCGAAAAGCAACAAGTAGGAAGAAGAAGCATCAAAGATAGGACTTCACTTCAGGTGAACATAGAGAAAACACAGGTGATAAAGATTCCTGGGCAACACTACCAACAACAACCATCAGCATAAATGGAAGGAACCTGAAAGAAACAACCTCTCTTACCTACCTACCTGGGAAGCATCGTTTCAACTACAGGCCGGCGGAACTGACGAGGATATCAAAGCAAGGATCGGGAAAGCAAGGCAAGCTTCCACTACTCTCAAGTCTGTGTGGAGGTCAACAGCCAGCACTCAGCATCAAAAATAAGATCCGGATTTTCAACTCCAATGTGAAGTCAGTGCTACTCACTATACGGATCAGAGACTTGCACTGCGCGTCATAAACAGCATCTCAAACAAACTACAGACCTTCATCAACAGCTAACTGTCTTCGCTCAATACTCAAGATCAGATGGCCGGCCAGAAAAGATCAGCAACAGAGATCTCTGTGAGCGAACCAATCCAGCAGGAACCGATTGTGAAACAAATATGCAGAAAGAAATGGAGATGGATTGACTGGCCATACTCTGAGGAAACAAACCATCAAGTGACATCAGTAGACAAGCCATTGCTCGAGTGGAACCCGAAAGGGAAGCGGTGAGTTGGTCGTTAGTGCAAGGGTGACTTGGAGGAGGTCATGTGAAGACTAGATGAAAGCATGTGGGCAGACTTGGAGCTAGGTGAAGACTCTAGTAGAGAACCGAAGGCAATGGAGACGCACGGCTAAAGCGCTATGTTCCTCTAGGAATTAAAGGAAACAAGAATAATAATAAACCGTACGATCAGTACCTGAGAATCGATGAGAATATTCCCACCAAAGTGGGGTCACACACACACCACCGCTTCCCACAGACAGTTCAAGGTTAGAATCACCTTCATTCACTCAAACAAACTCATATGGTTAAACAACTTATTACCGATATCATTATTATATAACCACAAAGAAGAACAGTACAAGGTTGGGGGATGGTTCATCATTAGCTGACATCAGTTAGAGAACCATTGGAAAACCACCTAGGAGAACTGGACAGCCAGCTGTTTCTTCCTTGCTGTCTGGGACTCTCCAACAGCACGCACCCACCACACTACAGGGTTGTCAACCCAGCACCTTCTGGTTACAAGGCTAGCGAGCTCGTAAACCATTCATCAGTCACTGGGACCCACCGATCCAATGGTCACTCCATGAATTCTAACTTCTGCCAGTTGACACACTACATAGCGCGACCACTTCATAATGTCTTCTTCGATGAGTTACTGCCTCACCTTCAACTTGCTGCATCCTACTGGTCATGGGTTCCCACTGGAACCAGTCCAAGTCACTGCCTGAATAGGTTCAGTCGCTAGTGAGCATCAGATCATGATGAAATCCTCCAACCGATCAAACTAAATCCCTATAAAAACTAATGATTATTATTTCCTTTAGTTCCTAGAGGAACATAGGGCTTCAGCCATGCGTCTCCATTGCGTTCGGTTCTCTGCCAACCTTTTCACCTGGCTCCAAGTCTGCCCACACTTTTTCATCTCCTCTTCACATGACCTCCTCCAAGTCACCCTCACCCTTGGACGACCAACTCGCCGCTTCCCTTTCGGCCAGATTCCACTTGAGCAATTGCTTGTCTAGTGATGTCACTTGATGGTTTCCTCAGAGTATGGCCAGCCAATCCATCTCCATTTCTTCCTGCTCATTTGTTGCACTATCGGTTCCTGGTTGGTTCGTTGATTGTCAGAGATCCCTATTGCTGATCTTTTCTGGCCGGCCATCTGATCTTGGGAGGAGTATTGAGCGAAGACAACTGTTAATGAAGGTCTGTAGTTTGTTTGAGATGCTCCTTATGACGCACAGTGCAAGTCTCTGATCCGTATAGTAGCACTGACTGACTTCACATTGGAGTTGAAAATCCGGATCTTATTTTTGATGCTGAGTGCTGGCTGTTGACCTCCACACAGACTTGAGAGTAGTGGAAGCTTGCCTTGCTTTCCCGATCCTTGCTTTGATATCCTCGTCAGTTCCGGCCGCCTGTAGTTGAAACGCTGCTTCCCAGGTGTGTAGGTGAAGGAGTTTGTTTCTTTCAGGTTCCTTCCATTTATGCTGATTGCTGTCTGTTGTTGTTGCTGTGGCTGTTGGTGTTGGCCAGGAATCTTCATCACCTCCGTTTTCTCTATGTTCACCTGGAGTCCTATCTTTGATGCTTCTTCTGCCAACTTGTTATTTTTCACTTGCATATCTTCCAGCGTTTGTGGGAAATCAGACATATATCACATCGGCGAAGTCCAGATCCTCCAAGTTCTTTGTGTGAGTCCATTTTATGCCTGTTTCCTCATTGCCCACTGTTTGTCGCATTATCAAAAACTAATACTTAAAATATTTGTGATTATAATCATAGTAAAATGTCAAGTGGCAAAATAATTAATGTCATATATAGAATAATTCATAAGACGTATAGATTTTGGAAGTGGGGGTGCACAATTATAGGATTAGTAAGCAAATAGAATAAAAATAAAAACGTTACATAACATTGCGTGCCATTTGACAGCATAGAACTTAACGTTGCAAAACTGATTTAGAATGACAGATGGAACAAGTGAAATAATACCAGGGACAGTCCAGAGTGAGAACAGTAACAGTAACAATTGACGTAATATAGGAAAAGTATACAAATCGAATAAACAAAACGAAAGATAGGT